CCGTCGCGTGAAATATAGAAGCGGATATAACCACGTTATGCCAACTCCACTCTAAGATTAGACATAATTTAAGCATGTAAGCGGTGCGGAGGCAACAACAAGCGTCTACGTGTGTACATATAAAAAAGTATGTGGATTCGTGCAAGCATTAAACATCGTATCACATTTACACTTGTTGTGTCTGTCTTCTATTATTATTATTATTATTCCTGTATCTCTTACTATCATCACCATATTCATTACCGTTACATTTTCATTTTCATTATTATCATTATTATTATGATAATCAATATTTCTAATGTTCTTATTATTAATTTTATTATTATTGCCATTATTATTATGATCATTATTATTATTATTATCATCATTATTATTATTATTACCATTTTCAATAATCTTGTAGTTTTATAGTCGCTGTCCCTACTAGTAGTCATTACTATCATAATCATTTTCTAATGACTATTAGGCTACCTTACTAACCTCGCTAACCGCGTTATGTGGCGTTATGTTTCTTCAAGTCTTGGGATTACAGTGAAAAAAAAAATCAATAAATCGAATACAAGATCCGTTTTCATAATCTCATTACCGACTTTCTCCATCAAACAAAATCTTTTAACAAACTATATTATATTTCTCCGCTTCTCGCCTGAGTCCTATATTTAAATCTACCCGCTTAACCTTTCTTTATACGCGCAAGCAACACTAAATACGACGTGTGGATTAGATGTCGTTGAAATACAAGTCACAAGCCGTACGAATTTCTCAGCCTCACGCCTTCAAATGTATCGTAGTTTGTAATAAGGATGACGTCGGGGTACCTTATCTCCCAGGGCACGTCCTTCGAGTCAACGTACTTCCCTTCGCAACCTCGAATCAGAGCGCGAATGGGAAGGGGGAGGGGGGAGGGAGGGTGGTGTGGGGGGAGGGATGGGGATGGCACACAATCAGAGGCGCAAAATTTGATATCTCCGAACTCCTAATCTGAGAGTGAGTCGACAGTTTTTTTTTTTTTATATCCCCTCTCTCGATGTTTGCTTTGCGATGATCAAGCGCTGGAGAAAAAATAATAACCCACATGGCGTCGGCATCCGGAGGTTGCAACAAAAAAAGAAAGAGAAAAACGTAATAAAAAATGAAAAAAAGGAAACGTCCACAGTCATTTCATGGCGATTCATTAAGAGAGGCGACGTAATCAAGTCCTAAAGGCAATTTTCTCCCCGCGATCACAAGCTGCATTTCAGCGGAGGGTCGCGAAAGGTGGCCGACGTTCGGAGATGCTTCGTTATACAGAGGACGACCCCGCTGTTACACGCTCCAACCCGCTAGTCACACCGTAAAAACGCTACCTGCCCGCGATTACCTAGCGATGACGGTGTCGGCGGGGCCTGTCATATTTGTTTTAGCCTGTGATGTTGCGTATGCAAATTGGTATCATCTGCGAGGGCCGTCTCACAATTTTCTGCCAGGCGTGACAAAGAAGTGGTTTTTGCGTTACTTATATACCGACCCGCTTGTTCAGCAGAGTGAACCCTGCGTCGCTCGGAAATTGCTGTTTTTAGGGCTTGTGCTTTATTAGAAAGTCAGTTATGGTCGTTTTGCGTCGGATAGTTGCCCGCGGGTCTCGTAAATATGCTATTTCGTCTTGCACCGTTTGTTTTGTTCACTTACTACACAAGCTATATAAAAATAAGATCTACATATATATTTTTAAAACTTTATTTAGGACAAATAACTAATATATTTTACAACACGTGTGCTCTCATTTATTGCCTCTGTTACGCGAATGTAACATTTGCATCGCTTTGTTATGTAAAAGATCACTTGCACACGTGGCTGGCTCAGAGCTTAGACACGCGTACAAGGTGAAGCGCTGAGAAAGGCGCACAATGCATAACATGAAATAAAATCCAATAAAATGCATACAACACACGCAGACATGTGGTGTATTTTTATGTATTTATATGTTACACACACACAACACACGTGTGTGTGATATTATGTATATATGTATATGTATATATGTATATATATCTATATTTATATATATATGTATAAATATACATATAAATATATATATATATATATATATATATATATATATATATATATATACATATATATACACACACACACACACGCACACACATATATATATATATATATATATATATATATATATATATATATATATATATATACATATATAAATATATATATAAATATATATGTAAATATATATATAAATATATAATATAAATATATAAGTATATCTATATATATCAATATATATATACATATATATATATTATATAACCAATATATATATATATCTATATATATATATATATAGCTTTATATATCTATATATATATAGCTTTATATATCTATATATATACATATATATATATACATATAACTAATATATATACATATATATATATTATATAACCAATAAATATATATATACATATATATATATATATATATATATATATATATATATATATATATATATATATGTATATATATATTTATTGGTTATATAATATATATATATAATATA